AAAAACTCAAAACGCCTATCAAAATAATTATGTTAAATTTCTTTAAAACTTTGAGCGAAGATATCTCAACAACCACCTGACCAAATTTGATATACAGTTTACCCTCATTATAACGTAGTGGTCGGGCTGAGAAATACTGTCCGTTATAATGAATATCCGCTATAGCGTTATATAACAATAATAAAAATTTTAAATTGATTCAGAAATTGCTCTGTTATAACGAGGTATCCACTAGAATGGGGTCCGTTATAACGAGGGTAAACTGTATATATATTTTTTTTTATTTAAATTCTCTAGATTCATAGAATCAAAATAAAAAAAAATTCATCAACTTTGATCTAAAATGAAGCTGCGTCAAATTTTTTTAAAACTTTGAGCGAAGATATCTCGACAACCACTTGACAAAATTTTTTTATTTGAATTCTATGAGTCAAAGGATTCAAATAAAAAAAAATTCATCAAATTTGATCAAGTGATTGTCGAGATATCTTCGCTCAAAGTTTTAAAAAAACTTGGCGCAGCTTTATTTTGATAGGCGTTTTGAATTTTTTCAAAACTTTGAAGACATCTCAAATTTGATGATTTTTTATTTATTTTGATTTTATGAGTCTAGGGATTCAAATAAAAAAAAATTTATCAAATTTGGTCAGAAATATTTTCGCTCAAGTTTTAAAGAAATTTAAACATAATTATTTTGATAGGTGTTTTGAGTTTTTTTTTTAAAAAAAACTTTGAGCGAAGATATCTCGATAACCACTTGACCAAATTTGACAAAATTTTCTTTTTTTTTATTTGAATCCTCTAGAATCATGGAATCAAAATAAAAAATTTTCATCGAACATTTGATCAGGTGCTTGTCGAGATATCTTCACTCAAAGTCTTTGTTTTGTTAGAGGGTAGGAATAAATATAGGGGGTATAAAAACTAGCCCTAATTAAATAAAATGAAAACAAGTGACAGCCTAAAAGGCCTCCTACCCCAAAATTTTGCAAGGAGTTTTTTTTGTCAGGGCAGTTTACGTTTTATCGGATCCTACACCCTGATTGGTCGATCTGGATTTAGCGATGTACGTTAGAATAGGTGTCAGGTTCGATAATATTAAAAAAAGAAAGGTGATAAAAACTAATAACAATAAATAGCGAAGAAATCTATGAAAGGTAAGGACTCATTTTGATATTATGGAATACTTACTAATTATAACTCAGTTCTTTCGTTTTAATCGTAAATCTCGTCTGGTTTTAACTTTCATGAAGGTTTCGCCAAGTTTCCCCCTCCACCTGCGATTTTAAGTTTTGTCTTTCATCAAAGGGTTCTGGGGTTTCGTCAAGGTTTCGCCTTTCGTTCTTCGCCGCCTTTAGGTTTCGTCTTTCGTCACTACACAGAAAATGTTTCACCTAACAGTTATAGTCCATAATATAATAATTATACAATTGTGAATGTTATTTTTGCGTCAGTAGAATTTAGTATTATTCAACAAAGATATGCTACAAAAAAAGCGGCTGGTTCTACTCAAAACGGTCGAGATTCGCCTGGTAAAAGATTAGGTTTAAAAAAATTTGGAGGTACCCTGAACCTTTCTGTTTAAAATTTTATTCCACTGCAAAATTTCAAAATTGATGAAAATTGATATGTTTTGTTAGGTGAATTTGTTGAAATCGGGAATATTCTTGTTCGACAACGAGGAACTAAATATCATCCGGGAGAAAATGTATTTGTTAATCTAGTTTTCGTTAAATATCAAAATTCAATCCAAATAATTCTCATAATAATAATAGGTAATAATGGGAAGAGATCATACTTTGCACGCAGGACAACCAGGATGGGTGCAATTTTATATTGACCCAAAACGTAAGAAAAAGTGTATTGGAGTTGTAATAAATCCAAATGATAAATTACCGAGACCGCCTACCGAACCAAGAAGGCGTAGATTTGATTTGATAGATGTTACACAATATCATGAAGAGTTACGTAAATCCAGAGAAATTGCTATTTCTAAGAAACAACAAAAATAAAGGTATATTGATTCTTCGGATTGCTTTTACAATTATTACTTTTGTTCTGTACTTGTTCATTCTGTTTGCTGAATAGGCTTTTTTTTTTTAAAAAAAAAAAGCCTCAATATATATCCTTAATATACATCCTTTAAAAATATTATTAGTATAATTCAATTGTAAACTTACTACGTATCAACTTTTATTAAAAGAGCCTTTTGTATAATCTTAATATTAAAGATGGTAACATAATATAGTATATTGTGGATCATTTATAATAATCGTGCATAACCGGTAATTAAATACAAATTGTATAGATAAAATTATTGGACATTGGTAATACTCTTTGTAAGCATAGCGGGCTTTCATTGTAATTGGCTGATCTTTGTAGACCATCCCGTGATATTGCAAAAATATCATTGGTTAATCGAAATTGTTAATCGAAATT